TATTATTATTATTATTATTATTATTATTATTATTATTATCGTCCTCACGTAATGTTTGCTTAGAGTCCGTAGGGCCGAGACCAAACCATGGTCCTGGGGCACTAGAGGATAGCCAGTTTTTAGCTATTATTATTATTATTATTATTATTATTATTATTGAGACACCCTGAAAGTGATAACACAAATTTTAACCCGACGACACGTGATCGTGATAACGCATGATAGCCCCTGTATGAATGTCCACTGAAAACTTGCTGCAAACTGTTGTTTTCAATGCAGGCCTATAAGGAAGTATTACAAGGAAAAGTACAGACGAATGAACAAGGAAAATGTGGATTCTGGATGGAATGATGATGAGGAACTAAGCATCAGAGTTGATGAAAGTCACCACACAGATTTTGAATCTACACCCTATTACCCTTCCCCACAGCCACTGCAGGAACCTTCATCGACACCTTATAATGCTCCAGGTACTAGTGAATACAGTTTCAAATTGTGTAATTTTGGCCTGTTGCAGGCTCTTGGTCAGTGCGGACGATCGAAAAAGGCACGCGGACGACGAGCGGGATCTGGGAGAGAAAATGGTGACTTAAAACTTGCTCAACGACGCAACAAGACAGTTTCTCTGGAAACTAACAAAAAATAGTTTTAGTTGAGGGGCGATATTTGAATGTCAGCAGCATTTATATACTTAGGTAATTTATGTTTGGCTTTTTGCAGTCTCAAGGCTCTTGTATTTTTCACTTTATCGTAACAATATCACTCAGAATTCTGGTTCTAGGATCATGAGGTTTAGCATTCTAGTAATAAAATTATGTTACTAGCCTTGGTTCTCTTGATAGTAACCTCATTTTAACAGGTTTGAGGTTCAGTGGATGAGCATTAACTGTTCTCTTCCCCTGCTTTTAACAGTTGTCAAACCGTCAGCGGTCTCTACCGCGAATAATACACTTGCTGTTAATGGTCAGGACAGTTACAGAGGAGTGCCACAGGCAGCCCAGAGCTATGAAAGATCCACAATCCAGGTTCTCTTTGATGACTGGCTCAGAGATTCTCGGAACGTGGAAAGACGAAAAATCATTAAACGCCAAAGTTTCCAGAAAAGACACTCGCTCGCTGACAGCTTGGTAATAGCCAAATCAGTTATTGATGGTCATGCAAAGAACAAGCAATTTGAGAAGAAGGCCTCAGAGCGGCGTCGCGTGATTAAAAATTGTGGTTCTGCTCTTGAATCAGCGTCTGGTGAACGGCGAATGTCTTTCGCTGATGAGCTCCAAGCAGCTCGCGCAGTGATAGTACCCACATGGGATTACAAAGAAAGCCTGGCGAAGTCCAAGGAGAAATGTCGTACAATTAAGGATACGTTTGCTGGGAAGAGGAGGCCATCACTGTTGGAGGAGATTGGAGTTGCCAAGAATGTCATCGTAGATAGTGAGAAAAGGAAATATTGTCTACCCCCTGCTGTAGTGGAGGAGGTAAGCGTCTCCAGTCGACTTCAAGCATATATTATAAATGTATTTTCTTAATGGAGTATTGTGGTGCTGTCGTGCACCACAATACTGGTTCACGATTATTTTCGAGACGTAAACAGAAGTATCGCGTTAGAGTCACCATGACAACCTCCCATATATGCACACTATAGTCAAGTTACACATCCCCAACGAAGACGCTGCAAAACGAAGCTTTTGAGCTCTACGCAACGTAAGATTACTCAATACAAATAAGCGATCCCAATAACAAAGATTCCAAGCGTAAAACCGGCTATCCGAAGGGTACTTAGTTGTGTTTGAACAATATGCATGTCCAAACACGTGCAAAGCGACGCGTACGATCGTTTAGCTAGAATTCTCAATTCAGCTCAAAAAAAAATACTTTCCTATCTACTTACAATACCGTTTGAGTTGTTTTCCTCCCAAAAACCATCTTGAGGATCACTGAAATCGTTTTAAATTCGTTCTAGTGTCTCTGCCACTTCCATGCGAAATTACTTGATCGCACAAAAATTATGTAGACCATATGAAGAGCCTTAGCTCAAAATCTCCTTCCAAGCTTTCTAGAAATATCAACCGCGACCACCGGGTGGGCCTGGTCTCTTCAAATCGGGATCGATTCGCATACTACCAATATTTCATCACCTCTTTATACGCATGGAGTACAATAAATGCCTCCTTTGTTTTGGTTTCTTCGAGGGCAATAAGTATTTTATGGCGAGCCATAATTGTATTTCTCGTCTTGTATGACAGATGCTTATTGCACATACGGCACCTGGAGGACCAATGAAATACTATGAAGATGTTCTCGACAAGCTTATCCGAAATGGCAGGTCTGTTTATATTTTTTTCACGCCTATTTTGTTGTCGTGGATAACATTCCTAGAGGAACAACACACTCATGGAAACATTCCCTAAATAGTAAAAAAAAAAAAAATAAGATTATTTTGTTGGATATCACATGAATTATTTCTAGTGTTTTCTAAAAAAAATGTTTGTCGGAAATTCTATCGATAAATCTGAACTAGTCTATTATTCTGGACAGCATTAGACCCCTGGCAGCTGGTCTTGTCTCTTAGGGGCCTACATGTGTTTATCCGTAGACGCTCACGACCATTTTTGGTCCCAGTCCCTTTTAATTTGGAAGTTTTGTCCTCACGCTCACTGCCTGATTTTGAGAGAAAAAAATAGCAACAACAACAACAATAACAACAACAACAACAACAACAACAACAACAGACTGCCAGCAATCAATTTATTTCACAAATCCATTTACGGTTACTTTGTGTAAAGGACCTGATGGGGTTAAAAGGCAGAAATTTAACTGACAATTAACATTTCTGTGAGGCTATAGTTACTATCACTTTACCGTGGTTACC